ACAGGTTGAGAGTCCCTGATGTAAAAGCAGTGTACATAATGCCATATTTTTCAGATGTAGGTTCATGAACAGAAATATCCTTACACCTTATACCACACAGATGTACCACTGTCAGGCATAACTACAGATGATCTCTGTATTATTTTTATTTCATTTCTGTGGTGTACTCTCTTTATAATCAAGATCTCTCTAAATCATAAATCAAAATATTAAAAAGGCTTTGCTTTTACAACCAATATTCTTTCCTATAAAATAAAAAAGTACAGCTATTGTTTAGATATATGTAGAAAATTTCATTGTACCTTCTTTAATTTCGCCGAATTCTTCTGATTGAATTTTTACGGAGTTCAGGCCTCATGGCGTTTTCTGCTCGCTGATAATTTAACTTTATTTGCTTTTCCGTCATTCAAATTCTCCAACATTTCAGTGTTTTATGGATTTTTAGTGCCCTCTGATCAACGCATATGAGACCAAGAGGAACGGATGTTCGAGTTCAGATTGAGAACAAATTCGTTTTAATTTTTAGTTGTATATCGGAGAGGTATAATCATCTATTTGAAAAACATGCATTTCTCATTTCACTGACATTATTCTTAAAGGCTGAAGCTGAGGTTATGTGGATATGGAGAAATGTTGTTGTTGTGACTAATCTCGCTTATCTTATATCAGAGCAAGCCCACGAAATTCATCGTGGCAAGGAGGCAAGATTGCATCTGTCGTTGGCAAGAGCTTTGGGCAACTACTAGTATCCAAAGTATCTCGGGTTAAACTACCAGTATCCAAAGCTCATAACTACTCAGCCTCTGATTTTAATACTCTTGATAAACGCGAATTTGATTAATCCGGAAAATTAGAAAACACTTGTGTTATTTACCTATCCTTCACATATTTTAGCTCACTAATATGTATAACTAACTATTGCTCATAACTTATTTAATATTGCGTCATAGACTGGGACTGATTTACGAAGGGAAGGTTTCCAATATTTTAGATGAAGGAGATTTAATATTTCGATTTACGAGATATTTACTTGACAGATAATTTTCAGGCAACTAGTGAAAATTTGCAAATAGAGGATTGCTTTTTCGATGGAAATGTTTTGCTTGATTAGGAGAAAAACGCTAAAAGCTGCAACACACACATTTTGAACATAATCTAAGCAAGAACAAAATTTTCAATGGAAGAAAACACTTAATAACAGCAGGTGCTTAAAACCATTTATAACTAGTCCAATATTCGAATTAAGTAACTATAACAATATTTAAGGAATAAATTTATATTATTTGATTTAGTTTGCTATCGAATATGTAAAGTAAAGGTAAAACACATTAAGAGATTAAATAAGTAAAATCTGATTAAGCCATTCTAGGTCTTTTTTATTGGACTGAATTACTTAGATTATGACAAAACACTCGAGGGCTACCTTTCTAAGCAAACAAATTTCTTCCTGAAGAACGTTCTGAGAGAAACTGGCTCATTTTGATGTTAAAGATAAGGAAATGCGCAAAAACTTCCATATTTCCATATAATCAGGACGTTTACAGAAATCTGAAGCCGTCCGACGTACTCGCATTGCAGTGCTTAAGTGATTTTACTGCTCAGCCACTGGTAAACCTCTGGATATCTAGACACAGATACCTTTGAGAAATCCTCAACGCATTATTTTCCCCCGTTTTTGTGGGATAATGAATGAGATTAAGAGAAATTGTAGAAGGATTAGTGTAGGAGATTAAAGGAAAGCGCAGAAGCCACGTAAATCCTGGAACCGTAGGCCGGGTCCTTGTTGGGGTTGGTGATAGACTTTGATAATGAAAGAATTTGTGTAAAGAGAAGAAATGAAATGAAAAGTTTTATTTATTGCCTTAGTTAGATATCTAAATTAAATAAGCGTAATAAAGGGTTTGAAAACGAGATTCTTAAGCTCATTAAAATGCATGTGCATTTTTAGAAGTTCGGAAAAGAAAAAAAAAAAAAAAGAGTTAAGAAAACTTGCTTGAGTTAAGAGTGTTAAATGTTTTGCAAATTTTATTTTAAGAACGATCGCTTGGAGTTTTATCTGGTAGCTGTTTTAGTTTTCATCGCATGTGCGTTCTTCTACGGTGTGCTTTCAGGAAGCATGTAATTACGAGGAGCTTAGTAAGGTAGATTTCCGAAGTTTTGGTCTGCTTGGTGAGTTAGCGTTTTTCAGCCTACGTTCGTCTGCAACCAGAAAAATGAAAGAATTTCTGTCGGGGTTTCGAGTCTGTTATTTTTTTAAGTTCAGCTGATAGTTTAAAACAGCAAGTCCACAAACAGTTCGCTATTTATCAATGATGAAGCATAATGGTGTGTGTTCCGTCAAGAACGGAGCAGAAATGTGTTTGTTGCTCTAAAGCATTTTTATATCTTTTGTGATTAGATAATAAAATTGTTTATATTGTGATTAGTAATAGATAAGTGTTGTCAAGGCTAAGATAACTAAAGTATAATAGAAAATTCCGGTGAGTTACGATTCGGCTGATTATACGTAGTTAGAACATTTTAAAATTAAATTAAGAAATTTAATGAGTGAAATTTCAGATGTGTTTGGGTAATGTTTCTCTAGTTTGTGAAGAGAAAGATATGTGCATGTGAAAGATATGTTTTCACAGAAAAATTTCTGATAAAACTGGCTCACGTTACACACGGGGAAAACCACGAAAACGCCTATGCAACCATCCCGTTCGCCTGGAATCGAAATCATGTCGGAATTGCCAGCGTTCGCTGATTTTACCGCTTAGCCGCTGGTGGGCCCGTGAGTACTCTAACAGAATGCCTATGTTATTCTTGAGACTTTAGGTTTCTTGAGACCTATGTTATTCTTAGACTTAGGACTATTTAAGTATTGCCACAGAATATTATGGAGGCATAGACTTGATGAGTCCTTGAGAACATTTAGATCAATAACGTATCGCATTGCTTGCGTCCCATATTTGTCTACTAGGAAATGAGATTTTCTTTAGATGAACAAGTCAGGTTCCCTTTTGCATTAGAAACTGCCTTTCATGGCTTTTATGTGGACGCTTTCAGGGTCACAAGGCGAAGAAGAAGCTAAATATTTAGTTTGGCAGTTATATGTAATGATGGAAACGGGCAGGTTTTGCTTAAAAATAGATTTTGAACAATCAGCCGCTTTAGAGAGTAGTCCTACGTGGTTACTAGACTCCAGTACTGTTATCGAAATAACTAATGATAAGGAAGTGAAGATACTGGGTATTAATTGGAAACTTTTTAATAATACATTTCATTTCTTAGAATGCATATCATGATAAGGAGTTTACCAAGATAATTATTTTGTCAGAAACTTCGAATATCTTCGAAGCTGTGGGATGATTAGCACCTACAATGATAGGTGCGAAAATATTATTTTAAGAGTTTAGAGATTAATTGGAATGAAGTAATTAAGCAGAAAATATGCGAAAAGTGGAAAAGCTTTTGCTTATATCAAGCTTATTATCATCACTTATTATCAAGCTTAGAAATTCCGAGGTATTCTTAAGTCCGAAGCCAATAACTGTCGAAGCTAAAGAGCAGTTGTTCGAGGAAGAATGCTCCTGGAAAGAAAATCCTGCAGAATGTGGAACCAGAGCTCCCATCACAAATATTACGTTGTGAGTGATGGATGAAGGAAGTCCAGCAATTAAACAGATTCGCAATTCATTAACAACAAGACTGAAGTGTAGAGTTATGTTAACAAGCTTGAGGTGATGACGCTATGTTAAAGGATACTAAAAAGTATTTTATTTCAAATGTTCCTAATTTTGAAGAGATTAGTGTACTTTAAGTTTTCATCATTGTTAAAGTTATGTAGTGTTATGTAAGTACGTGAGATTCGACAATAACTGTAGTATGTTACCTGAAGTTAGAGGTTTATGTAGGTTATTTGGCTACTGAAAAACTCCGTGAAGTTATTTCTATCATTATTAGGCTTGTACAACAATCTGTGTTTTCAAAAGTATTGTGCTGCATAAAATCGTATAAACCGCTGAAGATCTCAAATGTGATTTTATTTTTAAATCCATTCTTAGATTACACAGTGATAATGCGCGCAGGCGGAATACTCAGATACGCTACAATTCCAGATAATCAGAAACATCCTATAATCTTGCCTAAGAATGATAATATAATGCTTTTGATTATTAAGCATTATCACGAAACTAATCTTCAGGCAGGTACTCAACTATTTACTTCTGATCTACGACATAGACTTTGGATTGGGAAAACAAGAGCTATTACAGAAAATGTTGGCTATGTAACTGCTGGAATTCCAACTGCACCTATGTTCTTTTGAGATGTGCTTTCCATGAAACATGTGAAATAAGCAATGACGACGAGCATAGTAAGATGGGAGTTTCCAGTTTTTGGCGTGCTTGTCAAGTTGCTGTTCCTCAGTCTACATGACGTCTTCAAATAGAAAAGTAAATGGATTTCTGTCGAGATTTTGAATCTGTGAATTTTCTAAAGTTCTCCTGATGGTTTAAGATAGCCAATCCATATGTAACCCATTAATTACCAAGTACTCAATAACAAAATCAAACGAAAATCAGAGATCTAGCATTAAATAATAAAAATGATAACAGCGTATTTAATCATTGTAGAACTCGCTTTAACTTTCATTGAGCACCACACTATGTTTTATGAATTTTATTTTAATTTTCTACAGATATTATTTCACACTCTAAATTTAAGCAAAAATCATCTGTGCTTGACTAACTAACGGTTAGATAATTATATTTATTAATTGTTCGTTTAATTAAAATTTGTGCATATTCGTCTTTATTATTACAACGTATATGGCTTTATATTACAAAGAAAATTTATGCAGCTTCATCATGTTAAAAGTAGTTTGGATGATTACTTTATTTCTCGCATATGTTAAAAAAAATTTAGTTTTCTGTATTTCATAATTTGCTTTTGTTCCTGAACTCATGTATTGCTATATTGTATTTAAAGATGTGAAAATTACAAAACCACATCAAAGATTCAAACTTTCACAATACTTTATTTCATATCCATTTCTTCAACATTTCAGAGTATAAACTTGCTCAAAACTCACTTTAAATCTATTATTGTACACAAAAAATCGCTGCGAGAGATAAGGTACTAGCTCGTTTTATCTAAAAACAAGAAGCAAACATAAAATAAAGAAACAAATTGCAGAACTTGATATGCACAAGTATGGCATATGGATTGTTTATAAACAAATACTAAAAGCAAATTTGAGTTCCAGTTTATGCAATTCAAGTTAGAATTTTAACCAGAAATGAGTGAACGCATAGTTAAAATACAAATTTATTTTTTTATTTTTTAAATATAAGATAATATTTTTCGAATAGTGTAACAAGAAATCAAAAGCTGCTTCTGGAAAATTTCAATGTGTCAAAACATATTTATTTCAAAAAGAAAATTTTTTGAGAAAAAAAAAAATATTTCATTTTAAATTGTGAGATTTTAATTTTACTTTTTGAAAACAGTTTTATTTTTTTTACATTTCTTATCAGTGTTTATTATTAAACATTGACAGAGAAAATCTACTTCTATTCTTATAAATTTAACAATTCAAACTTAGCTTCATGGTAAGGCTTATATTTTTATTTAATGCAGTATAGTGAAACTAGTTTAAGATTTTTTAACAATGTTTTCACTCATGAATGCACAATACTGATTGAAACCATGGCATTGTGAAAAAATCCTAATTAAATGCTTATTATTCGAAAACCCATAAAGGCATTTCTAAATCATAATACTGCTACTGCCATTTTATTTGGTTAAAATTAATTTCATTTCTAGAAGTGATTTACAGCATAAATGCTTTCACAATGATGAAATAAATCTATATTAATTACTTATCCCGCAGGAATTTTCGTCTCTTAAAGCCAATAAAATAAGATTTCTATTTTAAGTCTATGATATTCAAAATTATTTTGAATTGCAGTCATGCAGAAAAAATGTCTTTTATTTTATTTAATAAAAAGTAAAAGGCAAATTTTTTAGGATTAAATTTACAAAGTAATGACGAAAATAATAAAAAAATACATTCTTTAAATAACAATAAACTGAAAACAAATATTTTATATATAAAATTGAAACAATTGTTGATATTATGAAACAAATAAATTTAATTTAAAGCTGTATATCCATCTCCAACTACAATATTTATATCTGTGTCATTCCACCATAAACTGCCAGTTTCGATTTCTTTTTCATCTAGCGCATCTCATTATTATTTGTTTAAATCGATGCACTATCCACTGATTTTAAATATTTTGTTTATGTCTTTTAGATTACATTTCTGAAAATGGAAAAATATACTTTGCTACCTTGCAATATGGTATGTGACATTAAACTGAAATGGAATATTATATTCATCAGCCGTGGGAGAGAAATTTTGAACAACTTCATAAACTAGTTAAATTTAGGATAATGAAGGAAATGATGATTTTAATGCATGGGTATTAGTTTACGCATATTTTAATTAAGAAACAATGAATATTTTATATTTTACAAGCACCTATTTGCTATACAGAAGTTAGATGACGTATCAGAGTTATGATAAAACACTAGAGAGATCCGCATGTGCGAATCGAGAAGTTCCAGGCTTGACAAAATCTTGAGCACAAAAACAGTCCCTGATTTCAAGGTGTCATAAAATTAACAGTTACTTGGGTATGTTGATAAATGTATTATCCACAACTCAGTTAAATATTTTTTATTTCTTTTCTTTACAGAATCGCTCCGCATGACTTCGACTGCTAGAGGGCAGTGACATCGAAAATGGCATTCACCCCACAACAACGAAGCTGGCGTGTGTTACAATTTGCAAAAACAAAGCAGTGTTGTGAGAGTGCAGCGTGGGTTCAAACGAAACTTTGATGTTGATCCAACTACGCACAAATCCATTTTGAAGTGGCATAAAACATTTAGTGAGACAGAGTGCATTTGTGATAAAGGAAAAGGACATTCTGGCCTACCTTCTGTCTCGGAGGAAATTGTTACCCCCAACTCTGAATGATCTTCAAGAAAGCATCAGTGCTGCTGTCAACTCCATCACACCGGATATGCTTCATAACGTGTGGTTGGAACTGAATTACCGCATCGATGTTTCCCGCGTAACAGGTGGCGCGCACATCGAGTGTTTGTGATTAAAACCAATACCACCAAAAAGTTTATGAGTTTATGTAACTATGTTAAAAATTTGGGCAAGATAGTCCTTTCGGTATTAAATTTATCCCCATTCGAAACCGAGGACTGTTTTTGTGCTCACCCTGTACTTTAGAATGTTTTTTATTATTAATTTAACAGAAGTAAATTAAAAGAATAACTTTTATAAACCTTTTTTCTTTCCCCTTTCCCATCTGAATAAAAGAAAGCATTTATTTTTCTCGTCTTATTTTATAATAAGCGTGAAACTAACATATGTTTTCGTGTCTTTTAGATCTGTTGAAAAATCTAAGATTATGAAACCTCAAAAATTAATTGAATTTTGAGAATAGCTTCGAGATTGAATTTTACTTTGCGTAAGAGTAGTATTTTGCATTTCCTTCATTCCTGTAAATATCACATGGACTTCTCATGAAATTCATCTCAAAATCTCTTCCAGGTTTTCAATAATGTAAAATACATTGACTGAAACGACAATTTTTAGGATTTGAATTTCATAAACTAGTTTAATTTAGCCATATCATATTTAGATAAATTTTTAATTCTAATACATAGTAACTGCCAATAACCACACAGAATTTTCCGCCTCTCTGAGTGGGGAGAGATCTTACGAGTACCTTGTAATTGGCATATACGTATAACAGAAACTTCTTCCAGTAGTCAATTATTAGTTAATTCCTACTTAGACACGCACTGACTTGCAATTGTCTCGCTGTAGCAGAGTCAGCGATAAATGTTAAAACTTGCCAGTGAGGAATCATACCATCTCAACAACTACGAATCGATACCCTTAATAGAATCGCCTGTTACGAATTTTCTTGTAGTTGGTAGTTACGCGTTAAGCCGGGTTAAGAGCATATTGCCCTAGTGGTTTAAGAAAGATATTTTAATGCCTGAAGATGTAGAACAAATTTATTAGACAAAGTCTCACTGTACTATTTTCTAAAACGCGCTTTGTTAGTTTTTGTAATCATTATAACTAAATTCCTGGATAAGGTTTTCAGTAGCTGACGACTTTTACCACTTTAGTGTTTTTATGTCTAGCTTGATAGAACACTCACGCAGTATCTAAGACAAATGAGTCAGTTATTACACATAACATGCAAAATTCCATGTTTTAAAAAGAAAATAATCTATACTTGGAGCTTTTCGGTAAAATATTTATTTGAAAATTTCTTAACACAAAATAGGTAGGAAACGTTCAAAAAAAAGGAAACAACGAGAATAATTAATCATATATCTTTCAGATGCGATGCCAGCGATGGAACAGAATTTTACAAGTATCAAGAAAAGAGAAGCAGCACTTTACGATAAAGCGGATGAATTTAACAACCAATTTTATAATTACAGAAAAAATATCTTAAAAACTTAATGAAATAATAATATTTATTTTAAACCGCTTTTAAGTACTCGTAACCAAACAATGCCATAGTTGCATTCAGGGTTGACAGAGGTAAAAAATATTTCGCGCAAAACAGCACTGCATAAATATTATTATATATTGCAAATGGTGAAATAAACGAAAAAAATGTACTAAAAATGAGTCCTAATAAGTATTTTCAACTTTATAACTACTATAAATCTAAATTTGCTTCACTATCTTCAGCTGAGAAAGCTGTTAAGAAGCACTGTCGGTTGAACTAGCCGTTTTTAACCTACCTATTCACTACGAAATACAATAAGTATACGAAGTGTAAAATTTATTTGCCAACTGGATTCATCTAGTAGTCCTTTTTTGGCCAACGAGACCAATCGCTCGAGCAAAGCGCTCAGCAGCACCTTTGGTTAGGCCATGGGAACTAACTCCACGATTGTTATAGCATGGTAGCACTTAACATGCTATAACAATCGTGTTATAGCATGTTAAGTGCTACCATGCTAAACGCAGGGCTATATTATTATTATAAAATGGTTTTTTAAACATTACAGGAAGAATATTGTATAAATATCGGTTTAAAACTTGAATAACGTCTTTAAATTTATAACTATTAGTAGTAGCAATATATAAATCCTTCCTCTGGACTAGCCGCAAATGGCTCTTAAAGAACTTGTCTATTTTATTTTATGCTCAGACCAAGAATCTTCTAGAAAGTATATAGCGGACTCTTTGCAATATAAAAAGATTGCATGTGGGCAGGAAAGGAAGTCAAAATATTCGACTATCTTCGCTCACAACCCTTCAAGAAAGGGACATTGCTCGTCATAGCAGCTACTGTTTATAGAGGCCGTTCCTTTACAACAACGGTATAATATATTCCTAATTGATAAGAATATAAGAAATTCACTTTCGTTATAAGGCCTGCTCATTATAATGCCCTTCCCTTAAGACCACAAGGATTAGTTATAACTAACGAACATTAACTAGTTTCGCCTTTTAAAGCATCTTTCTTCAACAAAAGTATTTAACTTTATTAAAGAGTTTCATTTTAGTTGAAATTTAAGCAGTTTTGTATCATGTGATGTCAAAATATATTCAGTTAGATTTTTCAGTATAAGAATAATATTCGAAAATATTTATTTCAAGATTGTGGGAAAAACATATGTCTAATAAATATTTAAGACATTTTCCGAAGGTTAGTTAAGTTAGAATGAAATGCGAAATGGAAATCGACTATATTATATTTGGGATTCCAGTTTAAACATTTCTTCACCGTATACATTTTTCTATGTTAAATTTTTATTTCATTGCTTATAAATAACATATTCATTATATTACGTTTGTGAATTCTCTGAGATATTATATTAAGAACAATGAATTCATTTGCCGTATGAAAAAAGAATTCTTTGTTATGTTATCTTTACCTTTTTAAATTTTAGAAGTAATTTAACTCTAAAATGTTTTTAATTTGTAACAATAAATGGGTATTAATGGTTGTAATGGTGAGATTAAACTGATGCCCTTTTTCTTAGCTTTGTTAATAAGTACTCTAAAACATTCCTAAATTTAAAGCGAAATTAGTATGGTCAGATATAAATTCTAAACACACATTACATTTGGTACAAAGCTTTTCGAATTTACAAGATAGGGTTACCTTATAAATTCTTAAGCTCTTAAGAAATTTAACATTGATAACATTTATTCATTGATAACAAGAGAAAGTGAGATACAGTATTTCCCTAATAAAATTTTTGGATTCTGCTGTAGAATTATTTAAATTTTGTAGACTTTCTTTCTAACAAATAATTTATAAATGTATAAATAATTTATAACTCTTTGACGAAGTACGATGTCATAAATAATTCAAACAAGTTTAATAAATCCTGGATCATTCAAACATGTTTGACATGATATTAGTTTTAACTGGTTGAATCGCGTCGCTTAGGTTCTTATATAGTCTTAACTGGAATTATATTTTCTTTCTTTTCCTCCAATCTAAATTCTTCTTTCAGTTCCCTGATTCCTAAGAACAATACATAATTGCAGAAACTATTCATAATAACAACGTAAAGTAAAATTATTATTATATGAGATAAGTAGTATTGAAACGTATTGACGTACGTCCCTAGCGAAGAAATCGAAGTCTAAGTTTCCTCTTCTGTACGCCATTCAAACTGTAATAGCTAAATGATAAAATAAAATAAGCTCGAAAAACTAGGCTCACTTGATGCGTAGTTAGAACATTAATATGGCTATTGAAAGCATTAGTAGAATGCTTGTATAACTTAGAAGCATTAATGGATCATAAAGGAAATTGTCCTTTACAATAAAAAAATAAATGTTAGCTTTTCAGCAACTAGTAAAAGAATATTGCACGAAGTTCTGATCACTGTTCGTCATGTAAGTATAGTTTTAAGAGAGAAATTTTACTTAAATGTTATTGTATTAAATTTATTATTATCTCTTCTTTTTACTTTTATTATTTTTCTATTATTGTTATTATAGCTTCTTTATTTTTATTTCTTTTGTTCTTCTTTTTATCTTTCAAGGAATCTTATTATTTTTCTTTCTATTCGTACTTTTAATCTATTATTCCCTTGTTATTTAGGTAAACAAGTACATATTCCAGTTTCAATGTTTTAATTCTTTCTCAAATTATTTTTTATCTCTCGTAATATTAAATAGTTGTTTTAAGAATAACAGAGAATACTTTTACAGCGTCAGTATATCTGGAGATTAAAACTGTTTATGGAGCAAAATACTTACACCAGAGTTTAAAAAATAAGGCGTTTGAAAAAGGGAAAGTGTTTAGTCTTTTGTCCAGCAACATTTCACTAAACTGAGAAGACAGCAGATTCCTCTTACCCGCTTGCAGAAGATCTTTTTATGTGGCTTTTATCCTGTTAAATTTTAATGGCATTTTCCACTGCGTTGCCAGCATCTCTTATGAAAAAGCGACTCCAAATTCGTTTTAATTTTTTTTTGGTTTTTGATATATTCTTAACAACTTCTGTTATAATTATTGAATTAAGAAAAATTCAATTTCAGTAACTTAATAATTTTATTTATATATTAATACAATTTTTTTCTGTTACATACTTGGGATTAGATGACAGAGAATATAAATGAAAAAAAAAGTTCCTCAATATTTATTCCAAATTTTCTATTAGTTTAGGGAACTTCGTTGCACATACTTATGGAAAATGTTCATAATTTTTGGAGGTATTTATGTATTATCTCAATTTTCTTAATAGAATTCATTCGCCAAATTTTCAGAACGCGCCAGTCTCTTGACCAATCTGACGAATAACCATTTTTACATTTTTCAACCATGCGCAACAATTTTTCAGTTAGCCCTAAACTCAATTTTAAAATACGTTAATACATAAGTACCCTTTTGGAATTTTCTATTCATTTAGTTAATCTGTTCACTTCGGTTAAAAGAAATTATACAATCGAATTTCTCTTTCCTTTATATTGTGAACGGACAGTTTTTTACAAACTATTTAATATGATATGCATCATTTTTGCATTGAAGCCATCTTAATGATATCTAGATCTCTTCCGATGCAATCTGAGTTTCAGAACTGTACTGGAAGACAATAAAATTAAAGATGAAATTATATTTTAACAATAAAGTCAATATACTGAAGTAAAAAGTATTGTAATTTAGAAATACTGGGGTAAAAACTAATTTGAAACAAAATTACTGTGTACTGAATACATTGCAGTACGTAGAACTAGAAACTGCATACATTTTATTTTCACTCCTGTTTTAGAGTTCAATATCCGTATTACTGGCATATTTTAGGAATATACACACTGCAAACAGCCAATGCATGTACGTTGTACCACATGCATGTTTTAAGCACGTGTAAATTTACACACTTTATTTTTAAGCTTAGGGCCAAAAAGAAATAGTGTCCATCGATAAGGAAAATTTAATTGGCGACATTTACATTTTTTCTCTTATAAAAATTCTTTTTCTCATAGAATGCCTCCATTTATTATTATTCAGGAACAGAAAAATACGACAGACAAATACTTTTCCATTGACTTTTCGTGGGGGCGGGTGGGGGTTTCAGTAATAAGAAATACACAAACTTCGGCGCTTCTTTGTTACAGCGGCCTTTGAGACTGAAGTCAATCAATCGAGATACCTGCTTGTTCTTATACCTCGTCACGCAATCGTATCTTAGCACCGTGTGGCATTTTTGCTCTCGCTGCCGTGTTCTTATATTATATTCCTTTTTCATGAGGTTTTCAAATTCGCATTGTTTATTTTAGAATATATTCATTGCAGATTTTCGTTACGAAGACGTTAACAATCTTTAACTAATCAAGTAATGGAGTATTTATCCTTATTTTCAAGAAAGATGTCTGTTACCTGGCAAACGAATATGCGATAATGGCCACAGTATGAAACTTTCTGTTAACGAAGAAACATGTAAAGGTGCAACTACAAAAAGAAGAAGGGCTTACGTGTTCAGCGGTTTCAGAATATTATTCGTTATTCCTATTAGATTTATGTATTCTTGAGCAGAGGCGTTGATATCCATGAAGTAGTGTTTACTGTGTAGTGTCCACTGTGCTGTTTGTTATACTATGTTTTCGTATATGTGAAAGTGCTGCAGTTGACCGGAACAATTATATGCGATAAAATACAGTCACACTCGCTTATAAGGACGTGAAAGGACCGCGATATTTGCACGTTAAACCGATTGCTCGTAAAAAACGGATTCGTGAAAAATCATAAAAATTCATATGAACTTACTATATTATAAATATTCTATTTTTTATTTCTGTGCAGTACAAAAGTAGTTAATTAACTTACTTTGACCTGTCTTATTGTTTCTTTCTTGTGTTGTTGTTCTTCGAAGAAGACTCATGGTCCGGAAAACAACGTCATTTGCATCTCTAGCTTCGAAAACATTAGAATTTTTTCTGAGCACTCAAGAGACAGTAAGTATGCTGCGGGCGGCCCGACTTTAAACGCTTCACATTCATCGTTATTATCGCCGCTTTCATTATTTTTTATCTGCTTTAGCTTCAACTTAAGCTACAATATCCTCGGGAATACATAATTCAGAAGTGATAAAATTGGGGTCAACAGATATATAATTTTCAAATTCTTCCCTAGTCATACCCAAATTTTCCAAGATGGCTACTTCTTTTTCTTCGGCGATTTACCCCTCTTGAAAAATGTCCTATCCTGCCTTACGGAAGCAACTGATAATGCATGTTGATGCAATGTGTTCGCATGCATCATCGTTCATTAAACGTATCCCTTCGAGTATAATTACATTAGCATTTCAAGACAATCTGTTCTTCCTTTTATATCGAGAAACATCAAAATCATTAAGTATTTCAAAAAGTTTGGCCTAAAAGTTCTGATGATCCCTTGATCCATAGGCCGTATAACATTCGTAGATTTCGGTGGTAAAAATTCAATCCTAGTCCCTCTACAAGAAAAAAAAGTAGTCATTTCGCTGTCACATATGCGCAGTATTTATAACTCACTACTAATTTTTGGTTGACTTCGAAATGTTACAAGAAATTCTTCCAAGAAAGGATTAGCTGAGCTGGAAAGGCGGAACGCAAAGAAATTTTATGAATCACAAAATCACATAGGAGAGATGAGTTTAAATATATTCTACCAGTGATCACTTGAAAGATCTCCTGTAAAATAGGCTTCGAAATGTTATTATAACAGGCTATTTAAAAAGGAGAAATACTATTTTTTTAAACATCTGTGTTTGAGTAAATGTAGTTAAGTTATTGCTCCGTGAGCCGTTGATAAAATTTCGCCTCCATGGTAAATTTTTCATTTTTAGTGCTATGTTTCTCCTTTCCCTACAAGTGACTGCCAGCTAGTCGAGATAGTTTGGGAATTCTAAGTTTAGTGTCTAGATAGCTGTGTTTTTGGTAATTCTGCGTATGCTGAAAGAGCTTATTCACTTTAAACAGTTGGTACCTGGGAAAAAGATTGCGTATGGAAACTTGAGAAATAACTATGCAAAAATTACAGCTATGCTTAATTATTCGTACCTAAAATATTAACAAATTATTCTTTACGGTTGAATTTTAATCTCTAAACCTCGAAAATTTAAATATGAAAATATTCATATTATATCTTATAAGATATTTCAGTTGGTTACATTTATATTGAGAAGAGCAATGTTTTGCTTCAGATTTAACAGATTTAAATTATAATATGTTTAAATATTTACAACTAGTATATGACCCGTCTTTGAAGTACTTATCATTAACTTGTTACCATTAACTCATTAAGGGTTTTCTAATCCTTAACCTTTATTCATATTTACATTAATATGAGAATTCATAACTCATCTATAGTTGTTTTTACTATACATGTTTAAAAGTTTGTTTCATCGAAGTTACAAAGGTATGCATCAGAATGCTATATTTTTTATTCATGAAATGTTAATTTGAGCTGTAATATATTATGAATTTCAAAGTGATATTTTTATGCATAGAAATTTAGGCCTTCAATTTATTTTTTATTTGAATAGGTTTAAAACTATGAAAAACCATTTTTCACATTATAGCTCTATCACATCACAACTTTAAGAGCCATTAAAAACAATGCAGAGATATAAAACAGAGAATTTTCTAGACGTTCCTCCTGGTTTTTATTGCATTTTTTATATTTACTTCTACATAAAAGTTAAATTATTCCTATAAAAATTCGGAAGCGTACAGAAATAAAAGCGTGAGATGGAAATAAATTATAGAAATATGTGCCATTAATCCTGTTACAGTCTTAGCGAAGCTGGTTGGTATTCACGTTACAGTTGAGGAAAACAACGAAAACAGGCAGCCGGGCGAACCCAGGTCAACCACTCGGCCGCTATAAAGAGAACTGTGAGCTTCTAAATTTTCTTTTCTTCTGGTAGCAGCAAAAATTTGAACAGTATTAAAGTAAAATAAACTCAGTACATATGATACCTGATATTCCAAACGGTTTCAGATTTAGCAGAAATTAAGCGAAATTCAACATTTGAAAGTGAACAAGATAGCCGAGCATTTGACAGTGAACTGAAGTCTAGTCTTTTTTTTAGCTTAGAGGTGCTGCCGATGATATATATGTATATATATATGCACACACAATATATATATATATACATATATCTGTTTTGCGGGCGGCAACATCAAATTCATTTAGCATCAAATTCATTCATCAAATCCCATTAGCTTAAGTATTAACTTATCATTTAAAATAATATTTCAGTTATCGGTCTCAAATACACATTCTTCCTTCCTTCTTAAATTAAAAAAAAGGAATAAACGTAACTGCGTGTATTAAAAAGCGTACAATATATTTTTTCTTTAAAAAGTGCAAAACATTAGGTATTTAATATCCTATCTTCGTTAAAGACTGATGATTGAGATCTCAAAAACCAGAGTGAGAGTGGAATGCAATTTCTCTGTTATACAATTTATGCATTTTCTTTAATTAATTTCCATAAAATTTAGAGAAATATCCAAATTTTTCAAGACTTGAGTATCTATAATGATAAAACATTTTTGCAGAAACATGTAAAGATATGGAAATAAAATACATTTTATATTTCGAGAAAACGGCATAGAAGAAAGGGATACTTAAAGACAATAAAAGCGAAATTTCGGCTAGAAATATTATTTTTTCAGCCACCACTGATATGATTAAACATAAAGACATAATTATGCAGTCTTAAAAATAATAAAAGTAGCTTATTTTTTTATAATACTTGAAATAAATGTTTTCAAGAGAAGCAGAATTATACATAATACACTAATTTTATTGCAACTAGAATTTTTTTAAACTGGAATATAAACTGGAATATAAGAAAATATAAAAATTACACATTAATTCTAGGAGCTAAATTTAAAGTACATCGAAAGCAATAATCCGACATTTGAGATTTATTAATAGATGTACTGTAGCATAGTCAACTAAAACATTTAACCTTGAAAATATGATAGTTTAAACTGTTTTTTTTTTTTACCTTTATGTATCCCCAACTGCAACAAAATGCAATAGCTTAGGCTTACCATTAACTCGTAGATTTTCAAACAAACTTCTTGGAGACAAATTTTTATTCAATAATTGTCTTCTATGGGTTAGCGGTCTATAAACTGGTATATATGTAGTTATTTTAGAGAACAACAACATGACATTACTTACAATGTATTTTAGCGTTGTGTATGTTTATGAGGATGCTTTCAGCCTTACATATTTTTACATCATAGTTTCGCAGGGCTATACACAGCATATTTATTTTCTTAAAACGTAAGTTTTTCTCTAAAATTCATTTATGATAAATTATGTTTTACTAATTATTTTCGAAATAGAGTTTTCAAAGGAAGAAGATTTAAATTTAAGAGATTTAAGAGAAAATTAAAATTTTTAATAGTTTCTTGGTAGAAAGAAAACTGTAGAATTAAATATATAAGTACAGCCGTAGTGCCTTGTAATTTTCAGCGAACTGTGACAACTAAAGATTTCGCGCCTCCTCCTGTTTGTCAAGAATGGAAAAAAATTAATTCTAAAATTTCGTAGCATCAATTTTCTGCCCCCTGGATGCTGCGTCAGGATGTCGTCCTTGCTCCCGCCTAGCTAAGCCACTGCATATTAGCCCTGAGTTATATTAGTACTGTTGTAGTATGGAAAGTAATTTAGAAGAAAAGATTACGCTGATAACACAGTTTCGTTACATTCACCAGTGAATATTCAGATATTGAATACTCTTAATCTTAATATATTAATATGATCTTAAATCTTAATATGATTTTTATCCTTCAAAGCAAGTTTCCTAGAGTGTAAAAGAAATTGTTTAATAAAGCAAGAAAAATAGAATAAACTGTTTGAATTGAAGGAGTAAGTACGACGAAATGCCTAATTTGTAATTTAAGCAACTGAAATTGAATCACTCTTTCATAACAAAAAATAATGTTTATAATGGATTTCGGTCCTACTCAAAATATCCTTATTCATCGTCAGTTGCTTATTTTTTGAAAATTATTTATAAAAAGGAAAAAAATAGCCTAGTTTAAAATAATGATAATTCATTTAAATTCTGATTATTGGTAACACCCTGTTATCTTTATCACAAGTAAAAAATTCCCTAGGTTAAACTATTCAACTCGAGAAATTAAAGATAAAAGTTATTTATAATACTTATTGGAATTTTAGAACGATTCCACTATCAACCTAGTTCTCAGTATCATCTCCTCATATTTCTCCGTGGAATGTTTTCAAAATCCTTGTTCTAGGAGGCATAAAAAATTGTTAATAGAAGGGAAGCACTTTCTTCCCTTCAAAGGAGGGCTCTTAGGGCCCATTCTTTATATTTATTACTTCTAAAAGGGAGGCATTTTTGGTCTTTTAAAAAAGGCCTATTCTCAAACAGGAGTGGTTCGCCTGAGAACCTCAAAAGAGAATTCTCTTGAATATTCCCTGGCGATGTCGGCAGACGTGGACACTGTGTTGCACGTAGTGTCCCTGGAGAAAGGCGGGAAGTTGTAATAAGCCAAGTCCCTCATTGACTCGGATGCGGGAAGAGGCGTCTGCGGCTGCTGCAAGGTCCTCCTACCCGGCAATCCTCTATTTGCTGAGGGGCTGGTGTCCACTTTCGAACCCCTCCTGCCCCCTCTGTGTCTCCTGCACTGCGCGTGATCTTCAATCCCCACAAAATCCGAGTATTTGTGTTGCGAATGGTGATGCAAGTGGTGATGGTGGTGCCTGGTGTGTTGCTGTTTCTTCTTAATATCCACTTTATGCCAGTGGATGAAAAGAAAGATTGTAAACGTTCCCGCTAGTTCACACATCATGAGACCACACACGGCCAGAATGAAACTGTAACCATAGTGATAACGAAACATTGGCCCTTGGAAAGACGATTTGGGTCGCAACTTGTTACCAACTTCGGATTTGAAGGTTGAAATGTAGATCACCATCCCCGTTAGAATAAGAAGACCTGAAAAAAAAAAAAAAAAAAAAGGAGAAACAAAATGGTTATTTTCTGCATTTCGAATTTAGTACTAAGTTTTTTATTTAGTTTTTAAATTTGCATTCATATGAAACTATACCTCAGGATAGATTCAGGCTTCAAATGGCTTATAGTAACAAGATTCAAAAGACTGGTTTGAAAACAATCGATCCTGAATCATTCTTTACTTTTCGATGCTCTTTGTTTTTTTGTCCTATGTTGTTGCGAGTAAAAAAGGTGAATTTGTTTGGAAGATTTCTTAAATGAGCTCCTGATGAATATCTTCCACATACTAAAATATAAAAAAAAATCCTATTCTTGCTCTGGTTTAAAGCGATATAAAAATCTGTTGGCCAAGGGAGATCTATAAGATTAAGGATAACCAGGCTTTCTTAAATGGATGCCTTCGGCAAACAGTGTGCGAGATAGCTTCAGACACTACATATGAAAGCCTTCTGACTTTAGTTTAGCCGTAATTTTCTGTTGCTTTACACTTAAGTGGACACACATAATAATGATGAGAGATTTTTAGTGTGTAATACTTCGAAACAAGGTTAAAAAACTTGATGTCTTATGCACGTAATAAGTAGGAATTGTAATATATATATGATTTAAATTTATATGTTTGAAATATATTTCTGTAAAATTTCATGCAATTAGAAGCCATATCAAAAGGAGCTAAAATTAACTATATAACCATATTCAAATCCACAAATTAACCAGCAACACGTTACATTTTATTACATGCACTAAAAATTAAAGCCACATTAAAAATAATAGCTGATCACCTATCTTGCAAATGGCATCCAATGCTAAATACAGGGATATTCAGTTCTTTTCTAAGTACTGGAAAAAAAGAAGAGTGTTTTCTGTATTGCAGAGTATTTTCAAACTAACATTTGCTTCTTAAATTACACATATCCTCTGTTGCATTTTAGTTTTATAACTTGCTGCAGTCTTCCAGGGACAGATGAAAGAATTCATCTGTAAAGAGACAGCAGTTTCGCATCTTTAAAAATTTCGATACCTCTTCCAAATAAAAAAAAAGTAATTTCTATTCAAACAAGTTCAAAAATGAAGATTCTATAGGCTTCTAACAGCGTAGAAATATGTTCTAACTCATAAAAGTACCGTCCAGTTCTTATTAGAGTCGTTCCGCAGGAGGTGTTATGGCGCCTAGTAAAATACTTTCAGCTATTATTTGGTTTATTGAGATTACGGCAAAGCACACTAGAGCTATCTGCCTAGGGGGAGAGATGCCTTCATGGAGGACTTTCTAAGGGAAACTGGCTCGTATACACGTTACACATGGGGAAAGCCACGAAAACGCCCATGCAGCCAGCCCGTTCGCGGGATTCGAACCTCGGACCGAACTACCAATGTTCAGCGACTTTATCGCTCGGCCACTAGTGGGCCTAAAATACTTTCAGAATGAACCCATTAGGCTCGCCAGGGGAACGGTAACTTATTGGCTTCTACGCCAAAATCTTTGAAAAAATGTCATCAGTGCTATAAACAGTATTCAGCTCTGACTTGTTATGTACTCTAGAAACAATTGTTAATAATCACATATATTTGTTACTTCTTATTGATCTTTAATACATTGTGGGATCTTTCTCTCTCTTTCTAGCAATAACATTGAAAGATTGTTTTGTATTTTAAGTTGATACAGTACAACGTCACCAACTGCTCAACACGAAAAGCAATTGTGCTCAATGTAATATCACTCTTCTATTAATTTCTTGAACCGCATTATATTATGCACAGTTTCTGGCTCCAAGGTTATTTCTAATTGTCATGAAACTTGACAGGAGATATGGGTCGAGAGGGAAGGGCCAGAAAAGTTAAACGATGTGATAAAAACACCGATATTTAGCGCGATGAAGTAAAGGGCTACATTTTAATAACAATATCGAAGTGTGTTAAGTACTGTAAGAAACTATGTTAAGAACAGGTTTTATGAATGCAATTTGCAGTCTGACTCTCGGAAAGTAATCCTTCAGCATTGCGTAAGTTTGTTTTAGCTTCTGGATTCCCGTAGTCTGCTTATGTAAGTACTCTACATCTCCTAGTATGTAGTGATTATATGTATAAAACTAAGAATTTTTTTTTTTGTTGTGAATTTAATATGTAATCTGTTACTTAGGATCTTATATTTAAAGTGTAAATATTTATATGAGAATTTAGTGCCGAAATTAGGATCAAGTTTGTATGCTTATTTTGATACGTTATTGGGATACTTCGGAAAATGCATAAAAATTAATAATTTGGCTACGAATGGTATGAATATTTCAACTAAATTGATATCATCGTCATTTACGATTACAACATTTTTAACTGGACATGGTCCATTTCTAACATATTTAAAATTTAAATATATTCAAAATTATTTTGAATTTTGTTATTTAAATATATTCAAAATTATTTTGAATTATTTATATATTTTTAATGTGAATATACAAGAGAGCATCACTTAAATAAACCTTCAAATCAGTACGGAAAGAATGGACCCAAAAACCTATTAAAACATCTTGCTTTATATGGAATCAACTTTAAAAAACAACAGAATAGAATACTGTATCAATCATAATAATCTCAACAGTTATTTTCATCAACTAATTCCTCCTTTTTTTTATTCTAATATTAAACATTTAAGTTCACTATTTACTTTTATTATTTATTTCGTATACATCAAAATTAACGTAATTCAACAATCCTTTATAGAAAAGACTAATAATCGGACTAAGATCTAAATTGAAACTAGAACTGATGTTTTATATCAATCAATCAAGACTCCAACCAATTTTGAGCTCTCAAAGGGTATAACTATAACTGCGTAAAAAGTAGCATCTTATGAAAACATTTTGGTAAAAGTATATTTTAGGGTACCCCTTGGTGAAACTTGGCAATTTTTGGCGGTACAAACTCTGTATCCATGTACACATCGACCTACTTTCACTTTAGAAAAAACTCCGAATTGCATGACTTCCTCGTACGCAATATTAAATTATGCGCATTTTTTTCTTGCATTTCATTTAAACATATTGGATTGAATTACATCTACTTCGCCGACAGCGAATAAACCACAATAGAATAAATGCATTCTTTAAAATTCACTCTACTATTTGTTTACCATAGCGACACTCTGGCGCTAGATTCACTTAACAGTATTATATTTCGTTCATATTATAACTCATAATGTACAAAATTTATATCATTTAAAGAATAGAATTATCTAATCGTTGCCACATGTTCTATTCAAATACTATAATAAAGCTAGAACGATGTATAAAAGAAATTAAGCAAACAAAACAAAAAAGAAACAGTTTTTCACAGACGATTGAGTATTTCTCATTCAATTAATTCAGTTGTCACTTCGCGAGAAGGCAAAAATACATAAAAACTCAAAAATATCTATATTAAAAATTCGAAGTAAAATCTTAAACACTTATTTCCTCGAAAAAAATTCCAGAAAGGATTAAGCATGATTTAATTGGCAATAATAAATGAAGGCGTTATTTTTGTTGTTGCGAAGCTGAGTTTCTCTAGATTGGCAACAAATCCACTAGTCTGCTGTTTCAAATGTAAACAATCCATGGCCGCCATAAAAAAAAGGCTTAGCGGCACTTAAACAACTTTAAAATTGTTGATAATTCTAAAAATATTGCATACATATTTACTAAAGGCATAAAAACCTTAACCGGAAGATAAAATTAACATAATTCAATCATTTTTAAAGCAAAAAATGTACAATTTACAAACATATGAGAGTAAAGAAACTGAGATCACTGAGCCGAGTAACAGAGTGGATATATATATATATATATATATTTATATACGTTTGGTTCGCCCGATTGCAAACAAAATACGAGGTGCACATCTACATGTTATAGCAGTCCTATATACAAAATTTCAACGTTCTGAGGCTACTCGTTTTTGAGTTATGCGAGATACGTACGTTCGTACAGACGCCACGAAAATTTCTCTTCAGAATTAATTTTAAAGCAGCTTTATAATTTTTTTGGAGGAAACGAGTCTTTTATTCTGTCGTTACATACAGATATCACACAAAAACATCGTTAAATTGCATTCGATAGCGGTAAAAATGGATATTTTCGTTGAAATATGCTGCCTGAAACTTTTCGCGATTACAATACTTCCTTCTTACTTCGTACAAGGAAGTAAAAAGCATCAGAGAATTGCACAAACTATGCTTTACGCACTCCCTTGAGTTTGTCCATGTACACATCGATATATTTTCACTTAAAAAGTCAAAGGAACATCCAGTTCTACAGTAGAGGCAAACAAAAAATACATAATCTCAATAAACTATATTTTAAACCAAACAATAAAATAACACAAAAAAGGAAAAACCTGTTACGCATTTTAGCACTACACAAAGCAAATTTCCCCTTACGTTTTTTAGAAATTCGTTCGTCTTCAGTCTGTGGCACACAAAATTCCTTAACAGCATCCGAAAACTTCCTAAAATTATCTGAACTACAATCCCTATACCGGCATCATCACAGAATATTCATAAAAATAAGAGTAAAAAATATACTACTTAGTTCCGGACTATGGCTAAGTAAACCTTCATTTACACAGTTTAATTCACTCAATTATTGCACTTTTCCCCTTTCGTTCCAAATTGTACAGAAACTTCAAATTAATCCTACTACATTCAGCCATTGTACCGTCTGAACAATAAAACAAGCAATGTACTTCCTAAGCAACACGCAATACAAAAGTTGTTGCCAAAACATCCCATGATTCAAAATTTCCCAGAATAATGCAAACGATTACGTCATAATAGGGTTTCCATAACATTCAACTACTCAGGTTACCATAAATGATAAATTTGGCGATAAATGAAACAACTTCGCGATAATACAAGGGGTGCTTTAAAATCAACTCTAACCTAAATTTTATATCATTAGAAAGACTAAAGTGAGAAAAATTGATTGGTACAAGTGCCGATACAATTGGAC